ATGGGAAGAAAAGGGGAGAAAGAAAAAGGGGAAGAGGAAAAGGGGGGAAGAAAAAGGGGAAGAGGAAAAGGGGAAGAGGAAAAGGGGGGAAGAAAAAGGGGAAGAGGAAAAGGGGAAGAGGAAAAGGGGGGAAGAAAAAGGGGAAGAGGAAAAGGGGGAAGGAAAAGAGGGGATGAAAAGGGGGGAGGAAAAAGGGGAAGGAAAAAAGGGGGGGGGAAAAGGGGGAAGCCAAGGGGGTCTCCCCGAGCTCACCCTGCGTGTTGGTGGTCCCGGCGCTCCAGGTGCCGTATCCTGGGAAAAGAGCAGAGCCGTGAGCAGGGGGGGTCGTTCCTTCCCTTCCCGACCCCAATCCCACCAAAGTCCCCGATTCCATGTCGGGAAACGGCCCAACCTAAAGGTCGAAGGGATGTTCTGGCAGGGAAACCAGGATTCCGTGGATTCCAGGGAATGATGGGGGGCCGCCGGGATAAACCCTCCCAGGCACTGGGGAAGGGATGTTCCCGTCGGGATACGGCAGCAGGAGCCTCCTTTTCCCTTGGGAATATCGGGGATCCCGGTGGGGGATCCCAGCTGGATGAAACGCTCCGGGCTCCCTGAGCTTCCCAGCGCTAATTAAGAGCTTTGTGTTAACGAGGCGCCTCCGATCCGCTCTCTCCAGGACCGGCAGCAAGGGAAGCTCCTCTCCAGGGGGGAGGAACAGGGAAGGGCCAGGACAGGCAGGAGATGCCACCAGGACAGGGAGGAGATCCCATCAGGATACAAAGGAGATCCCATCAGGATACAAAGGAGATCCCATCAGGATACAAAGGAGATCCCATCAGGATCCACAGATCCCATCAGGATCCACAGATCCCATCAAGACACACAGATCCCATCAGGATCCAGAGATCCCACCAGGACAGGCAGGAGATCCCACCAGGACAGGCAGGAGATCCCACCAGGATCCACAGGAGATCCCACCAGGATCCACAGGAGATCCCATCAGGATCCACAGGAGATCCCATCAGGATCCACAGGAGATCCCACCAGGATACACAGGAGATCCCATCAGGATCCAGAGATCCCATCGGGATACAAAGGAGATCCCATCAGGATCCACAGATCCCACCAGGACAGACAGGAGATCCCACCAGGACACACAGATCCCATCAGGACACACAGATCCCACCAGGATACAAAGGAGATCCCACCAGGACACGCAGGAGATCCCACCAGGATCCACAGATCCCACCAGGACACACAAGAGATCCCACCAGGATCCACAGATCCCACCAGGACACACAGATCCCACCAGGACAAGCAGGAGATCCCACCAGGATCCACAGGAGATCCCACCAGGATCCACAGATCCCACCAGGATCCACAGATCCCACCAGGATCCACAGGAGATCCCACCAGGATCCACAGGAGATCCCACCAGAACACACAGAAGATCCCACCAGGACACACATTCCCAGATAATTCCCCTTCCCGCCGCCGGCGTGGGGAGGTTGTTCCCAGTCCAGCTCCCCCTTCCCTCGGGATGGGCTTTTCCAGATGCCGGGCTGGGCTTTTCCAGCCCTTCCTTGGCCTCCTGGGGAGGGATCAGGCCGTGGAATTCCGGCCGGAGCTCGGCTCCATCCTCCACATGGATTCAAATCCATGATCTCCAGTGATCCCGAGCCCTGGCTGCAATCAGGGATTTTGGGATCATCCCAAAAGCGGGAAAGGGAAGCGATGCCAAGGCAGGGAAAGGTTTTTCCAGGCAGGTCCCTCAAACCGGCGGCAGCTCCGCGTTTCCAACCGATCCCAGCTCCCCCCCCTTCCAAGAAAACCTTGGGAATGTTGATCCAGGAGGCAAAACCAGCCCGGCCCTGCCCGGAACCTCCAGGAAAAGAGAGGCTGCTCGTCCCAAACTCCAGCCCAAAGGAATCCCGGCTCTCCGTCCCTCGGGATTCTCCAGGATAAAGCTCCTCGGTTTTGTGTCCCGGGGTGTTTCCCGAGCCGTTATCCCGTTCTTCCCAGGGACAGAGATCTGGGATAACAACCACCTCAGGCTCACGCTAATTAACGGCCCCGTGACTAATTGTGGAACTAAACATTCCAGAAACATCCCCACGAGGGAAAACTCTCGGAGCGAATCCTCGTCGCCGTCTCTCGGGGTAAAAACCACGGAATTAGGAGCAAAGCAGGGTAAAAAAAAACCAACATGGAAAGGAGCAAGTGGTGAATTTTCTGGAGCTGAGCGTGCCCTGGGTGACGATTCCTGATTTCCAGGCAGGAGTTTCTCCAGGGAGAAGAGTTTGCCTTTTGGGAACGAGGAATTATTTCAGTTAAATCAATATATCGCCCGCAAGGCTGGGGGTTAAACAGGCTCCAAAACCTCAACGGACACGGAATTCAAACCACCAAGGCTGCTTTTCCCGCTTCCATATCCTTTAAAAACCCCCAAATAACCCAAAACTCTCAGAATTCCTTCCTTTTTATACCATAAACCGGGAAAAATCCACGATAAAACCCCTCTACGGAGTTTGCTCCATTCCCAGTCCCGCGAGGCAAAGGGAAGATCCCTCATTAAGCAGCTCGTTAATTCCATGAATCCAACGGAATCTTTCTCGGGAATGACTCGGAGGTGCCTGAACTCTTCCAAGTTGTTCCTCCAGACTCGCTCGGCAAAGAGTCCCCAGGCTGATTTAACACTCACTCAAGGGGATTTTAATTCGGTTTTTATTCCCATAGAACAGTGAAAACGCTGGAAAAGGACTTAAAAGTTTAATGGAGGAGATGCCAGAGCTCAGATTCCCACCTTGGCCACGGGCTGTATCCATGAATTCTGAAGGATCTCTGTCCATGGGTTGTATCCATGAATTCGGAAGGATCTCTGTCCACGGGTTGTATCCATGAATTCTGCAGGATCTCTGTCCACGGGTTGTATCCATGAATTCAGAAGGATCTCTGTCCATGGGTTGTATCCATGAATTCGGAAGGATCTCTGTCCATGGGTTGTATCCATGAATTCTGCAGGATCTCTGTCCATGGGTTGTATCCGTGAATTCGGAAGGATCTCTGTCCATGGGTTGTATCCATGAATTCTGCAGGATCTCTGTCCACGGGTTGTATCCATGAATTCTGAAGGATCTCTGTCCACGGGTTGTACCCATGAATTCTGCAGGATCCCTGCAGGACGTGGAGGGATGAGGGAAGGCCAGGCAGGAGCTGGATTAGTTATAAATCCCACTGCAATCCCGATTAGGGGATAAAACCCAGGGAAGTGCCGTCAGCAGGGAAGGAAAAACTGTCCTCGTGGGATCTTTGTGTCCGTAATTTGAAGGAAAATTCATCCATGTGGAATCTTTTGTGCCCGTGAATGCGGATACAAGCGAAGGGAGGGATGAATCCAGGCGGGAAGAGGATCCAGGCTCTGGGATGCTGCCGGATCAGACCTGGGACGCCGCCCCCTGACACCCAAATAAACTCCATCCAGGGGCTTTAAATGACCGATATCCAGCTGTTAAACTCCCTTTTTGGTGACTTTCTTCCAATTCCCACCTCTGCATCCTCGATTTTGGTTTAAAGGGACGTTAAATCCCGGCGGAATCTGCAGATCCCGGTGACGCCAAGGAAGTCGACGCCCTTTTGGTGGAGGAGGACGGGATTTTCCCCTCATAAATCCCTTCCCCGGGCCAGGGAACGAGGCTGAAGAGCCTCAACAGCCTTTTGGTGCTGCTGCAATCCCGGATGGGATTCCAGAGGGATCCCACCCGCTCCCTGGTGCTTCCATTGACAATTCCTTGCTGGATGCTGTTACACCGGGATGAGGAAACACCTCGGGGGGCAAAGACAACCCCGGGGGGGATCCAGGGAAGGGGATCTGAGGCGGGGGTGGGAATTCAGAGATCCACAGGGGATTTCGGGGGAGATCCAAGGAGGGGGAATCCAGGGGGAGACCTGATGGGGGGATCCCAGCGGGATCCGAGTGGGAGGATCCGGGAAGGGGGACCCATGAGGGGAGTGGGAGCTCCTTGAGGAGGGGACGGGTCTCCCTGAGGAGGAGACACGGGACCCCCTGAGGAGGGGACGGGACCAAGCTGAGGAGGGAATGGGACCCCCTGAGTGGGACATGGGACCCCCCTGAGGAGGGTACAGGACTCTCGGGGTTCGCAACCAGCGGGACCGGGAAGGAGAGGGGGAAACTGAGGCGCACGAGGCGGGGGCGGGGCCGCGGCCGCCATTTTGTGTCGTCTTCAGAAATGGGACCGGCGCCATTTCCGCCCCCCCCCGCGCTCCCCTCAGGGAACAGCCCCCCCCAATAGCGCCCGCCCAACCAATCAGCGGCGCCCTGTCGCTGAGCGACGGGGCTCTCAGCCAATCAGCGGCGCAGGCCCTTCACGGGAGGCGGGCGCAGCGCTTCCCGCAACGGCTGGGCGCCCCCCCCACCCGGTTCTCCCGCCGGTAACGGAGCCAGCATTGAGGCAGCGGCGGGATGGAGCCGCCACCGCCCCGAGGGAGCGGCGGCGCCGCGGGGCCGCCCCGCACTTACCGCCGTATCCCGGCTCCATCGCCGCCTCCGCCTCCGCCCGGCGCCGCCGCACCGCTCGCCCGAGCGCCAACTGCGCACGCGCGCCGCGCCCGCCTCCCATTGGGCCCCTCTGCTGCGAGGGCCCGCCCACGAAGCTTTCCATTGGTGGAGCTCGCCCAGAGGCGCGGCCCGCCCGCCACTCCCATTGGCCGGCCCGGAGGCCCTCCCCCGATGTGATTGGCGGAGGCGCTTCCTCCCCGGGGGGCCGCCGGCGCGCCCACCTGTCAATCAGAGCCGTTCTCGCTCCTGATTGGGCTGCGGCGCGGGGCTCGCCCGGGGCCGGCGCTGAGGGGGAGGCGGGCGCCGCCATGGAGCCCCCGGGGCTGGGGTGGGAGCGACCCCAACCGGGACCCCACCGGGACCGAACTGACCTGAGGGCCGGCTGTGAACCCAACCCCTCGCAGCCATGGTGTCCCCGTCCCCTCCGTGACAATGTCCCCCATCCCCTCTCAGCCATGGTGTCCCTGTCCCCTCACAGCAACGCTTTCCTCCGTCCCCTCATATTGACAATGTCCCTCATCCCCATCCCCTCACAGTGACAATGTCCCTCCATCCCCTCACAGTGACAATGTCCCTTATCCCCATCCCCTCACAGTGACAATGTCCCTCCATCCCCTCACAGTGACAATGTCCCTCATCTCCATCCCCTCACAGTGACAATGTCCCTCATCTCCATCCCCTCACAGTGACAATGTCCCTCATCTCCATCCCCTCACAGTGACAATGTCCCTCATCTCCATCCCCTCACAGTGACAATGTCCTTCCTCCACCCTCTCACAATGTCCCCCATCCCCTCACAATGTCCCCAGTTCCCATTCCCTCCCAGCAACGGGATCCTCCATCCCCATCCCAGCTTTCCAGCAGCTTTTTCCTCAACATTTGCCCCAAAAACCGAATTAAAACACCTTCAAACCAAGCGGCAGCTGCGGGAAGTGGGTGAGGAGGTCCAGGCTGGGCCTCAGCTTGTCCAGAACCACCCCGTGGTTTTCCTCGAGCTCCACATCCTTTTCCAGCCCCGTTGGAGTGACCTGGTCCTTGGAAGGGGTGGAATGGGATGAGCTTTAAGGTCCCTTCCCACCACGGAAACCGATTCCCTCATTTCTCCCTCATTTCAGGAAGGAGAATCCACAACTCCAGCTCGTGGCAGCTCCAGCCACAGAGATGGAAACGCAGGGACGCTTCCAGGCCACGGAAACGCGGGATTGTGGAGCGGCTCCAACCTCTCCCAGGCTTTCCTGGGACACCAGGAATTCAGGCAGAGCCGCAGATAAACTCAGGATAAGTCCTTTTTTATCTCCACCCACCGACACATCGACCTGGAAAATGAAACCGTTTTACAAACAACACGACGTCAACACCACTGAACGCTTCGCTCCGCGGGAAAAGGGCCGGGAAAACATCGGGAATGGGGCCGTTACAGTCACAGGAAGTCACGGAGGACCTCGAGGAAACCCCCTGGAACCGAAGTGCTGCCGTTCCCAGCCAGCCAGGCCGAGGGCACGGCTCTGTTCCACACGGACACGCTCCCGTTCCCGGGGGAAGAGGCTCCGGAGCAGCTCCGGCTTCCACACATGCTCCAAAGGAAAAAATCTCCTACAAAGCCACCTAAGAAACAGGGACCGCACGAAACTAGCGACTAAACGTGGAGAATCCGTAAAAAAAATCCTCTAGTTTCCCAAAAAAACCCCCAAAAACAGAACAAAACAAAACAATCACTTTCCAGGGAAGAGGCTCCCCCGGCTACGCGGGATCGGCGGGACGAGAACGGAAAACATTCACGGACACGGCGGGATCCGGAACATCCAACACACACGTCGGGTCCTTCCCCCGGGGTGGGTTCATTCCACGGCCTCGGGGCCTTCCTCGCTTCCCTCCTCCTCCTCTTCCTCCTCCTCCTGCTGCTGCTGCTCCGGCTGCTGCTCCCCTTGCCCCGGGAGAGCTCCCTCTGGATCCTCTGGATTCGGGGAGTTCTGCTCCGGCTCTGTCTGTGCCCGGCGCTCCCGCTCTGTCTCTGTCCCCTCTGTTTTGGGATTCTCCTCTCCCTCCCCCTCTTTTTCGGGATTCTCCTCCGGATCCTTGTTTTCCTCCTCCCCGTTCCGCTCCTCAGGGTTTTCCTCCTCCGGGTTCTCCTCCTCCTCCGGGTTCTCCTCCTCGTCCTTGTTCTCCTCCTCCGCTCCTCCCTCCGCTCCTTCCTCGGCGTTCCCGGCTCCTCCTTCCCCTTCCTCGTGCTCCTCCTTCTCCTCCGGATCATCCGTGAAGGGATTCTCGCCCTGGGAAGGGGGGACAAACATTCGGCTGCCGGGAGTTCAGGAATTCACACCTCCCACGGCAACTGGGAAATGAGCAGCTCCCGGAGCAGCTGCTGCCTCCGGAACGCGGATCCGAGCCACACGTGGGATACTGGGACGGAATTCCTCCCTCTGAGGGGCTGGGATGGAATTCCCAGAGGAGCTGTGGCTGCTCCACCTCTGGGAGTGTCCCAGGAACCACCTGGGCCATGGAAGGTGTCCCTGCCCTTGGAATGAGGTGGGAATGGGATGATCCTTAAGGTCTCTTCCCACCCAAACTATTCCATAATTCCAGGATTCTGGAGCCCCTCTGCTCTGGAGCCAGGCTGGGAATGTTCACCCGGAGCAGGGACCTTCCAGAACATTCCAGGGGAGCTGGAGAGGGACTTGGGATAAGGGATGGAGGGACAGGACACAGGGAATGGCTTCCCCTTGGAAAAGGGGGGATTTACACGGAATTTGGGAAGGAATCCTTGACTGGGAGGGTGGTGAGAGGCTGGGATGGAATTCCCAGAGGAGCTGTGGCTGCTCCATCCCTGGGAGTGTCCCAGGCCCCACCTGGGCCATGGAAGGTGTCCCTGCCCTTGGAATGAGGTGGGAATGGGATGATCCTTAAGGTCCCTTCCCACCCAAACCATTCCACGACCCCCAGGGTCAGCAGGGCCGAGCCCAAGGCTCGCCTTCCGCAGGGAAACTCCGGGAATATCAACCCAGGACCCCACCCCTTCCCAAAAAGCCTCCCCAGGAGCCCCGGGGGCTCGGCTCCCGCGGAATTCCGGCGGCAATTCCCAGTTCCCACCTTGAGGTACCGCTCCAGCTTCTTGCTGATGAGTTTGTTGTTGAGGATGCTCCGGGCCACCACCAGCGAGGATTTCTTGGATTGCTCCAGCATGGCCTGGCAGGGGGGACACACCCAGGGGGTGAATCCAGAGCCAAATCCCGGCGATCGGGGGGGGTTTTACACCGGGAAAAGCCGCCTGGGGAAAGCTTGGAATGACGTCAGCCCGGCCGGGGAGCGGGGAAGGGTCAAAGGAGGGGGGGGAAAGACGCAAAATTCACCGGAGAGGCCGAGGAGGGAGAGCCCGGGGACACAAATCCAGGGAAACTGAGCGAAGATTCCGAGGGAAAAAGGTTCTGGGGACACAAATCCAGGAAAACTGAGCGAAGATTCCGAGGGAAAAAGGTTCGGGGGACACAAATCCAGGAAAATTAACTGAAAATTCCCGGGGAAAAAGGTTCTGGGGACACAAATCCAGGAAAATTAAGTGAAGATTCCGAGGGAAAAAGGTTCTGGGGACACAAATCCAGGAAAATTAAGTGAAGATTTTGGGGGAAAAAGGTTCTGGGGACACAAATCCAGGAAAATTAAGTGAAGATTTTGGGGGAAAAAGGTTCTGGGGACACAAATCCATGAAAATTAAGTGAAGATTTTGGGGGAAAAAGGTTCTGGGGACACAAATCCAGGAAAATTTTGTGGGAAAAAGGTTCTGGGGACACAAATCCCTCAAAATTCCCTGGAGATTCCCTGGCTGAAGCTCCCAGAGCCACAGGCCCAGCCCAGCCCGGGGCAGGGGCTGAGGAGCAGCTCTCCCGGGATTTGGGAATCCCTGGATCGGCTCTCCCGGGATTTGGGAAGCCCCTGGATTGGCTCTCCTGGGATTTGGGAAGTCTCAGATTGGCTCTCCCGGGATTTGGGAATCCCCAGATCAGCTCTCCCGGGATTTGGGAATCCCTGGCTCAGCTCTCCCGGGATTTGGGAATCCCCAGATCGGCTCTCCCGGGATTTGGGAAGCCCCAGATCGGCTCTCCCAGGATTTGGGAATGCCCTGGCTCAGCTCTCCCGGGATTTGGGAATCCCCAGATCGGCTCTCCCAGGATTTGGGAATCCCCAGATCGGCTCTCCCGGGATTTGGGAATCCCCAGATCGGCTCTCCCGGGATTTGGGAATCCCTGGCTCGGCTCTCCCGGGATTTGGGAATCCCTGGCTCGGCTCTCCTGGGATTTGGGAATCCCTGGCTGGGCTCACCCTGCGGTTGTGGTTGTGATCCAGGGATTTCAGGTGTTTCTGGATGGTTCCGAACTGCATGGGCAGGAACAGGTCGCAGGCGGCGCAGTGGGCGGCCTCCACCTTCTTCAGGAAGTGCTCCATGCCCACCTCTGGAACGGGAGCACAGCGGGATTCACCGGGAACAGCCCGGGATTAACCGGGAACAGCCCAGGATTAACCAGGAACAGCCCGGGATTAACCGGGAACAGCCCGGGATTGGGGTCCTAAACTCGCCCGGGACCACTCCAACCTCCTGCCCTGGGATCCCTCCACACCCATTCCCCGGGATCCCTCCACAGTCATTCCCCGGGATCCCTCCACACCCATTCCCTGGGATCCCTCCACACCCATTCCCCGGGATCCCTCCACACCCATTCCCCGGGATCCCTCCACACCCATTCCCTGGGATCCCTCCCCATTCATTCCCTGGGATCCCTCCACACCCATTCCCCGGGATCCCTCCACACCCATTCCCCGGGATCCCTCCACACCCATTCCCCGGGATCCCTCTCAAAATCATTCCCTGGGATCCCTCCAACACCACACCCATTCCCCTGGGATACCCTCACACCCATTCCCCCGGGACCTCCACACCCATTCCCTGGGATCCCTCCACACCCATTACCTGGGATCCCTCCACACCCATTCCCTGGGATCCCTCCACACTCATTCCCTGGGATCCCTCCACACCCATTCCCCGGGATCCCTCCACACCCATTCCCTGGGATCCCTCCACACCCATTCCCTGGGATCCCTCCACACCCATTCCCCGGGATCCCTCCACACCCATTCCCCGGGATCCCTCCACACCCATTCCCCGGGATCCCTCCACACCCATTCCCCGTGATCCCTCCAAAATCATTCCCCGGGATCCCTCCACACCCATTTCCCCGGGATCCCCTCCAAAATCATTCCTGGGATCCTCCCAGTCAATTCCCGGGGATCCCTCCCCAACCAGTCCCCGGGAATCCCTCCACACCATTCACTGGGACCCTCCACAACCCCATTACATGGGATCCCTCAACCCCATTCCCTGGGATCCCCTCCAACACTCATTCCCTGGGATCCCTCCAACCCATTCTTCCCCCGGGATCCCTCCACAACAAACCCATCTCCCTGGGATCCCTCGCACACCCATGCCTGGGATCCCTCCACAAAACCGTCCACGGGATCCCTCCACACCCATTCCCCGGGATCCGCCCACAAACCCTTCCCCGGGATACCTCCACACCCATTCCCCTCACCCGGGATCCCTCCACACCCATTCCCTGGGATCCCTCCACACCCATTCCCCGGGATCCCTCAACACCCATTCCCCGGGATCCCTCCACACCCATTCCCTGGGATCCCTCCACACCCATTCCCCGGGATCCCTCCACACCCATTCCCTGGGATCCCTCCACAATCATTCCCCGGGATCCCTCCACACCCATTCCCCGGGATCC